AGACCATTATGTAGGTCTGGGTTCAGAGACAAATGGGATTATGGCTTGCCTTATACCTGTCCTCATCCTAAAAATGACGGCTTATGGACATAGGGAGACAAAAAGAACATAGTCTACTATTTAAGATTTGAATCTTATGTGGAAGGTAATACTCCAGAGAGACCACTGTGTTCCAAACTCACCTGATCAGTCGCGTGGGATGCTTGCTGAAAATTCGCTGTCTTAGTTTACTTCCCTGATCTGCTGAATCAGAATCTCCAAAAGAGGTCTTTAAAATCTGAATTTTTAACAAACGTTCTAGATGATTTTCATGATGAGGCAAGTTCAGAGAAAAATAGAACACAGCTCCACAGGGTTCTAAAAGTAAAGATTTTTAAAGAGGGCCCAAGAAAAGTGATGTCTTAGTCTACTTGGGCTGCCATAACAAAATACCATAGATTGGGTGGTTTAAACAACAGAAATTTTCTCAGTTTTGGAGGCTGGAAGAATAGAGTGGTCAGGTCTTGGTGATGGCTGCCTTCTTGCTGTGGTCTCACATGACCACTTTGTGGAAGGTGGGAAGAGGGAGAGAGAGAACAAACTCTCCGGCATCCCTTCTTATACGGGTATTAATTCCATCATAAGGGCCCCATCCTGATTAGCTCCCAAAGGCCCCATCTCCAAATATCACACCTTAGGGCTAGGGCTTCGACATAACCCTAGCTATGTTAGAGGGTGGGGGGATGCAGACATTCAGTCCACATAGGTGCAATGGGACTTAGTCCTTCAAAGGACCAGGTGCTCATTTGTGGAGCTGAATCTTTGGGGTTTTTGCTTCTCACCAATCTATGCAAAGCCACACCATACAAGCCATAGGTTTAAGCAAGCTGTGCGCCCATTGGTTTCAGCAATATACAATGAACAAAACATGAGGATTTAAAGCAAACAACAACAAAAGATAAATCAATGTCGCCAGGTGTTTTGGATGTTATTCAGTTAAACACCAAATTTAACTCTGGACCTGCTGATAGCCCAGACCAAAGGAGAAAATGCACTTGCTAACTGTCTTTCCTATTTCACACAAGTTAAATTCTGGGTAGAGTTCCAGCTTTTACTTACACCTCCTGAACCATACTGCTATTCTCAAACTTATGCCCTTTAAAGATGAGAAAAGTCATTGTTTTTCCCCCAGAGCTGAACATTTTTTGTCTCAATGCATTTCTGGCTTATTAGAGAAGCAAAACTAGTCATATTAAAAATTCCCAGTGGGGAACCTCCCTCGCCATTCTGGAAGCGGATGAGAAAAATAACACATTTTGTGAAATCTGCAGTTTGGGGTTTTTTAATAGATCAGAAGAGTTTTCTTACCTCTTAATAATTCAGGTAACCCTGGAGATCCAGCCACTTTCCAGACATTGCTTAGCAATGAAGAAGTCAGGATGTCCCCAATTCCAAATTGGTTATCCAATTAGGCAAGTTCCGTTACTCAGTGTTGTTGTAACAGAAGGAGGATAGCTCAGTGTGGTAGAAGAGTCCCTGAATTCAGGCCCAGCTCTGCTATAAACTAATCAGCAGTTTCCATTGAACAATTTATTCACCCTCTCTGAGCCTGTTGCCTTCTACTATTTCTTAAGTATCTAAGAAGTGCCACACTATCCAGGTGAAGGGGACAGCCTTCAGGAAACCACAGTTTGGAGAAAAGGGAATTTTCCTTTCTGTAATGTAATGGTTCCTTTCCTTGTGTGGGTGCCTTGTCTCTGTTCCTTACTGGCTTGGCACATGAAACAAAACCTGTGAGTGTATGATGGAACAAATGAATGAGTGAGTGAAAGAAAACGGTTTTCTAAATCGCCTTATTTTATGCCACTACCACTCTTCCTAAGGTCCCCTTTGCCTGATAACTCAGACCCAAGTAGTCCAACTTTGATTTCACCTGTCTTAGGTTTCTAGCACTCAGAAAACTCATTTGTTGGCTGTAATCTGCCCCTTCATTCTTCTCTGGCACTGTTCCTCCGAATCTACTTCCATCCCTCATACACCCCTGAATATTTCCCTATATTCTAAATCCAAACATCCATTGAGCACATAATATATAGCAAGCACTGGGCAAACCAAGATGCTGGAGAACAGACTCTGCTCCACATTTTCTGTGGCTGCAGACGGCGCCCTGTGTATCCCATTCACGGCCACAGAGGGTATGCCTCCTTTGACTCACAGCTACTGAGATACCAGGACAGGCAAAATGATGCCACAAAATTCCCAGGAGAGTCTTACATCAAATAATTCTACCCACCTCTCACCACCTCATGCTAGCCCCCTGTACAATAAATTTTAACAAAAATAGCTGTTTAGGGGGATTGAACCACCTTAAATTTTCCATCCACTTAGTAGTCCATGAATCTGGGTGCTACACCAACTGACTGGAGCACAAAGCTCTTACCTCTACCTTCAGTATCATTTTCCCATCATTATCGAACAATGAGACACCAGTTTCTCTGGAAAACATTACTCAGTTTTTTTAAGTAAGTAGCATTTTTATAGCATGTCAAGGTTTAAAACCATTTCTACATATGCTGTTTCAGTCAATATTCACAACAAAGCCTGAGGCTCAGAGGATAAATAAGTAGGCCACATGGTCAGCAAAGTGGCAGGGCTGGCATTTATGCCTGGGTATGAGTCAAAATCCCAGAGCCTGCTCAGAGGGAGCCAAGTGATCCTGTTTGGTTTAGTCCTCATAGTAACTAAAAGCTACACATTTAGCCTTTAAGCATTTACTCCAATAGCATTGTATAGTAGTACCCCCTTATCTGCCGGGGATATGTTCCCAGACCCCCATGGATGCCTGAAACCTCACATATGCTAAGCTCTGTATACACTATGCTTTTTCAATGTGATAACCACAGTGGCTACTAAGTGACTAGCAGGCAGGTAGTGTAGACAGTATGGGTACGCTGGACAAAGGGATGATTCATGTCCCATGTGGGGTGGAATAGACAGTGTGAGATATCACTCAACTCAGAATGGCGCACAATTTAAAACTTGTGAATTATTTCTGGATTTTCCATTTAATTTTTTTGGACTGTGGTTGACCATGGGTAACTAAAACCATGAAAAGTGAAACCATAAATAAAGGAGCACTACTAGGCATAGATTTAAAGAGATAACCTCATCAGGATTTTTTAAGGGTGTTCACTAAACAATCCTAAACTTATATTTTACTTTTGTAACATTATTTTGGCTTTTGCAGTGTGCTGAGCCTCTCAGTAGAAGTTGCTCAGGCCTCTTTCAAGCTCAGAGCCTTGATAAACTTTTTCTTTTCTTTTAACATGACATCACTAAAAATGTTGCTTACTTGCTGTCACTTTTCCATCTTTCCACCTGGAAAGAAAATGGGCTGGATTTTTTAAATTTGTACTCCAGTTGTACATATAGCTTGTCCACCTCGCCTCCATAAAGACATTTTTATTGACCCACACATACTGTAAACCCCAGAAAGATCACATACCCCAGCCTGAGTCTGCAGCTGCCCAGCAGGGGCAAGATCTTGTGCTTTGCTCTCCAGAAAAACCCAGCTGGTTGCAAACCATGACCCTGCCCTGAGAATTGTCTTCTAGGGGTGACACTGGAGGATTCAGATAGCAGAGGGAGCCTTTGGATTCTTTACAATTATATCCCTAGGCCTTAATTCCTTCATACCTAAAATGAAGGAAATAACACTAATGAAAATTAAAAGAACATCAAGAGTTTTTCAGATTTGTAGATATATTTACAAGATACTACACCCAATACCAGGCTCTAAACTTTAATATCTTCGCCTAACTGGGCACAACAGCTGCCCATCTGAAAGGAGGGATCAACTTTTCTATTTGCAGTTGGAATGGCGGGCCCTCCTAACATCTTCCCAGTCACTCTCCCCGCATCATAACAAGGCTTCATTCAGGTGCATGGCCTGCTTTGGTGACAAATGCATCAAGCCAGAAGTACCAGACTCTTTGGCCTCCACTGGGCTGCATCTTCCCTCTATGCCCACATGCTCAGGGCATCATGAGAATGGCATGTGAATTATCCAGCTATGGATGGACTCCACTAGAGGCATCTCCAAGATCTTCTCATGCCCTGAGTGCCTGAGCGCAGCTGCGGATCTTCACGATCCAACCAGTGATCACTCCTCTCCATTCTTTCCGTTTCCCTATTTACCATAGCTTTTTGGAAAGCTGATGAAGTGAAATATTCTCCAGCAAAGGAAGTAATATAAAGCTTAAAAGGCATTTCTGATGGAATGGTGAAATAATTCCACTGCTTTCCTTTGAGCAAAAAAACTCAAGGCAACCTGAGGCAGCTCTGGGGATTTCATTATTGATAGACTGGAGGGAAACAATGGCTTTAGCTGAACAAGTTTTTCTCTTAACTTGTTAGAGCACTTTGGAATGAAGAGATGAGAAAGACAGGTGCTAGACGATAGAATAAACCCAGCACCAACTTATTTACATAATTTTGTATAGAAATCCATTGATGTATGAAGTATAAAGTGACTGTTGAATAGTGAAAATTAAGTATTTTGGAAAACAATCTATGTTCACTACCTAGCTCTAAAATAACTGAACATTTTGTAAAATACCTCTTGCATCTTTGTAAAACTTACTGGCAGTTTAAGCTATGTGTGTGTGCAGTTTTAAGAAAAGACAATCTTTTATGTTATCGTTAAAGGTAATTCTTAAGAATGCATTCTCTAAGCAGATGAGACATTGAGTCGGGGATAGGATGGGAAGAGCACATTTATACTTCTAATGCAGCATGGGCCATTCACCATTTCTTCATGATTAAAGGCTATCAGGAAGGCTGGAAAAGTATGTGTAGCAAAGATGATAAACAGCAATTTTTGCAGGGCAAATTGCTTCCTAAGTGAGGGAGTAGGGGATTTAAAGGCAAATGTAGCTGTCTCAGCATACAAAGGTTTGTGCTGTGTGAGATTCCTAAATCCTAACTCCCTTTTGACAAGTATTCCTTAACAGCCCTCCCAGATATCTGAAACCAATTTTAACCCACTCTGGTCCCCCGCTGACTACAACATTACCTGAATGGTGTGGTCCAATTTCCAGGCTGCTTACCAGTCCTCAAGCCTATGGGGTAAGTAAATCTCAGGCCTCTGGGGTGAGGTAGCCCTTGTGGGACAGACTTGGTGAATATCGATGAGCCCAGGAACCTCAAAAAGCCTGCTACTTGCAGGATTGAGGAGGAAGCATTTTTTAAAAATTCACTGCGCCAGGAAGCATTTCTCTTATCAATTGTTGCTGATGTTGGCTTATTCTTTTTTATTGTTACCAATATTTTTAACCATAAAATGACCTTAGAAAATGTAAAAGAAGCATCCTCACAAACTGCTGTGTTTTGAGGTTTTGAATATTAGGCCTGTGCTTTATGACTCAAGGGAGTGGAATGAAAAATGCTGAGAGGCACTTAGAACCATTACCAACAAATCAGAGGTCAGGGAATTGGAGAAGTGCACAGTCTTAGGGTTGCAAGCGCCCTTAGAAGTGTCCAGCTGGCTACCCCTGTACACAAACAAAAACTCATCTCAGGTGTGTTCAGGGCACAGAAGCCTGAGGCAGTGGTTCTCAAACAGTAGTCTCCAAACCAGCAGCCTCACTTGGGAACTTGCTAGAAATGCACACTCTCGGGCCCCGCCTCAGAAACTCTGAGCTTGAACAATGATCTGTATTTTAACAAGCCCTCCATGTGATCCTGGGACAGGCTAAAGTTGGAAACCACTGCCCTAAAATCCCCCAGCGAGGGCCCATCCTACAAGTAGTTTAGTATGGCCTTCCCAAAGCCAATAGAAGAAGAATTGGGATCTTAATTCTTTCAAGGGAGCCTCTGTATGGGAAAAATTATTATTAGTCAGATCCAGTTAGCTTCTAGCATTATCCACTATGGTGACTTCCAGCCATTTCTAGACTTGTGATACTAATCCCAAGAAATATGCTGAGAAGACACACTTTTAAGGTAAAATGTAACAGGAGGCCAGGTATGGTGGCTCACGCCTGTAATCCCAGCACTTTGGGAGACCAAAGTGGAGGTGGCTCACGCCTGTAATCCCAGCACTTTGGGAGACCAAAGTGGATGGATCACTTGCAGTCAGGAGTTCAAGATCAGCCTGGCCAACATGGCAAAACCCCATCTCTACTAAAAATACAAAAATGAGCCAGATGTGGTGGTGGCACATGCCTGTAATCCCAGCTACTCGCGAGGCTGAAGCAGGGGAATCACTGAAACCCCAGAGACAGAGGTTGAAGTAAGCTGAGATCGCAACACTGCACTCCAGCCTGGATGACAGAGTGAGACTCTGTCTAAAACAAACAAAAAAAAAAAGTAGCAATAACTGTGTTTTGAGGATTTTTTGATAGGCAGGAATGTTACAAAACCAACATGAGAATCTTCCCGTATTCTGAGATCATAGGATTATGCTAACTCCTAATTCTTGTCAACCCTAGTTAATACCAGTGGTGGAAATATCCTTAACCCAAGGAGGAATGTAAGTAGCATGCTCTTCAACACCTCTTACCTCAGGCTTAGAGACCCCTTATGGCTATACAGCATCAGATATTCAATGCTGACTCAGGGAAAGGCTGTACCATGCCTGTAGCAGAAACATCAGCCAAGGCCAGGCAGGGCAGTTACAGAAAGAAAAACATGCATTCTATTTAAAAAAAAAAAAAACACATTGTAGGACTGCTATTGTTTTCTGCCTTCATCATGAAGTGACACCTCTCTCTCTTTTCCCAACCAGGAACAGCTAAAAGATGATGATGTGGAATGCATTGTAAACCAGGATGAACTAGCCATACATTACCAGGAGCAAGCCTCCTCACCCTGCAGTCCTCCTGCAAGGCTAGGTCTGGACCAGAAAGCTTCACCCCAGACACCAGGCAAGGAAAACATTTATGAGGGAGACCTTGGCCTGGGAGGCTATGAACTCAAGCTTGAGCAAACTTCGGGTCAATCCCAGTTGAATTAATTGGCACGAAGAGTACAGATGTAATCACAAGTAATGCAAGGCTCACTGAGGAATACAAGCCAAGCTGATGAGGCAGTATAGGGGAGAGGCTGGAAAATGTATTAAGAGCATAAATTGGAGAGAATCAAAGCCTTGTCACGTGGATCCTCTGGTGCCTGAAGAAATGAGAATTTATTATCCCTCTCTATTATGCAAATGAATTTAGTTTTTTGACAGCAGCCATTTTGATTACTGGATTGACTGGGGTGGGGATGGGGGTATCAGGAGTCTAGCTGCTGGAGGCTGGGACAGCTGTGCTGGGTCTTCAGGGCATTTCTGCTGCATGTGCAGCTCTCCAGGCCCTTCACTTCTATTCTGGATTTTATTCCCTCCACTAGGGAGAGTTTAAAAATAAGAAAAGAAAGCTTCTGAGAGTAAACATTTGGCTCCTAAGCTGAAGGGAATGTACAGCTATTTAGTAAGTGATAAGTTTCTTATTTTGAGGACTTGACTCCCATTTGCTTTCAGTGACCCCAGGGCAGAGCCCAGAGAAGTGTTCCGTACCCACTGCTGATGGCTTCCCAGAGTCCATGCTGAGTTGAAGAACCTATTGTTCTTGTTGGCATCCTTCCTATGCTACTTCTCCCATCGCTCAAAGGGGTTGCCTATGGCCGGGTATGCTCTGCACTAAATGCAGCACCACTTTCAAGCTTGGTAGGACCATTCCAAGAAAAGCAGGTTTCTTCTCCCCATACCACATTGTGCCTGAAGAACAAGGCTTCCCGTCCTTGCCTGCATGTGAGTCACTTCTTGGCTGTGCAGCAGGTCCCCCTGTCTCCGTATGCTGGAAGGTAGGATTCTGCAGCCCATGTTGCTCTCCACCTGGCAGCAGACTGTGCAGGAGCCCCAACCTGTCCTCCAATTCCAGCATTCACAGCTGATGAGCAGTGTAAGAGCAGGGCGACAGGAACGGAGCCAATGATGTGTGGGTTACACTGAGGAGCCAAAGACAGGCCCTTAGGACTCCCCCTTACAAGGCATGGCTCATGGCCTACATTCCAGAGACCAACAAGATAGCTTTTAATTCAACTGCATGACCTGTGCCTTTTAAGCCATAAAGATACCTCAAGTCTAGCGCCTCTTGAAATCCAGATGTTCATATTACACTCCAAAAAATAGACTCCAGGCCTAGGTGCCCAGGCTATGATGAGTCTGCTTTTGAAGGAGGTAGGGAATGACATCTTCCTTGGACCCAAAGCTTAAAAGTAATGTATGCTTTGCTGACCACTGTTAGGCCTTAAACATTCACTGTGGTGGTATCAGGCACACTGCTATGTGCATCGGTTTTTTGTTGTTGTTGTTGTTGTTGTTGTTGTTTTGCTTTCCAAACAGAATCTCTGGGGCACAAGTTGTTTTATACTCAAGCTAAGTATAATTTTGTCATTTCAGGTAAATATGATAAGTGATGGAACATGAAGTTTTCTAATTTGACTTAATCCTAATAAATTTTTGTTATAAAGTATGATCGTATTTGGCTACTGCTTTATTTAAAGTCATTTTCTCTTTCCAGGTGACTTGGTGGTTCTAAGCTCTTATACTCAGAGTGCTGGCTGAAGTGGGCACTGAAAGCTAATGTATGGGAGATGCAGGGATCCTCTGGGCCAAAAACAGCCAAGGGGATAGCAGGACAAGTCACTGAAGGAATGAAGAGAGCAGGGATGGGCTGGGGAGGCATCCCAGAGAAGGGAAACCTGAGTCAAGCAGAGGGGCACAGACACCACCTTTCCCACTAGGGATGACCAGGGTTCACAAAAGCTACAAAAATAAGGGAAGGAGTTACTAGAGGAGAAAGAAAAGAAAGGCAAAAAGATAAAAGGTTCATCTTTTTTTCTGTCCCTATTATGCTAAAAGGAAGAGAGGCAAACTTGGCGTTTTCTTTCTCTTTGTGTGGAGAAAGACACCAAGGAAAGAAAAGATCCACCCAAAAAAGGCAAACATTAGTAGGGGGCAGGAGTGGAGAGAAGGCAGAGAAATATGACATACCAGATGGAAATGAGATCAAGTGGGGAGGGGAGGGTACACAATCTAAAACCAGCACCAACTTGCTAAGATGGTGTAGCAAAAATAGCCTCCTGCCCCACAGGCAAAGCCCTCTTCCTACTTAGAAGTAAAAATCTCTTTCCCTCTGAACATCGTGAGCTGTTGCTAACATGGACAATGAAGGGCTATTTAATCTGGGCTGGTTCAGGTATCCCAGCCGACTTCAGGTAGGTACGATATAAGATTGAGTAAACTGTGCCCCACCCAACCTGTAAGATAGTGTTCCAGTTTCGTGATGTGATTGCCAGCCTTCTTCCCTCTGTATCAGTCCAAGACCCAAACAGAGGCTAGTGTCCCAGTTAGCAATTCATAAAACCAAATTCCCTTTATGCTGCTATTGTAAGGATAATAATTTATGATGTTAAGAAAAGGTCTGTGCTTTGATTAGCATCAGGACTGTGAAATTCAAACCTATTATTTACTGCGAGTTTTAATGAATAATAAAGGCAAAAGAGCCTTATGCAAACCACTAATTCTTCTGCTGATTACTAGAGCTTTAAGCAGGACTGTAATTCATTGACTTACAGGTCTCCCCTTAACTTCCTATCATGTACATCAAACACACATTCATGGGTACATGCATACATACTTCCACTCACTTCCTCTACCAGGCTCCCAGCCACAGCCTCTATGATGTTCCCTGTGGTGCTTGGGCATATCTAAGCAAGTCTGAAGCCTGGTAGCAAGTGACATCAGGGTCTTCATTCATGACATTTCAAGGAATTTTTTAGAGGGCAATTTAATATAAATCCAAGCTGAAATTTTAAATACCCTTTGACCCAACAATTTCATGTGCAGAACTTTTATTCTAGATGTGCCAGAAAGTTTATATATGAAAGGTATCTACTAAAACAACTGAATTGCCATCAGGTTAAGTAAATCATAGCACAGCCATTTTACAAAACAGCATATGTGCTGATATGGAATGATTTCCAAGACATTATTGTTAAATGAAAACACCAAGTTGCAGAACAGGATGAATAATGTGCGACCATTCTGGCAGGTTAAATAAGAAACTGGTAGTATCATTGCCTTTTAAGAACTAGGGGACCTGATTTTTCTCTTTTATACCTTTTGAGCTTTGTACTCACATATGCATTATTTAATTTGGTGCTGAATAAGTAAGATTCCTATGAAATAACTCATTCCAAGTACTATGCTACTAAAGGAGTAAAAACCTGAAAAGCTGTTATTTTTGTCAAACTTTTGGAGACCCTGAAAATACGAAGGGCAGCACTGATAGCTTCTGGGTTTATTTATATCATCTAACATACACAGATGCAAACTATATAAAAAGTCATGAAATTCAGACAAATTACTCAGTCCCATCCATCAAACATCTAGAAGACAGCTAAAAAAATGAATGATTTCTTATTAGATAACAAACTAGATGATAAAGCTCTAATAACTAGAACAGTATAGTATTGACCCAGAAATAAGCAACAAAATAAAAAATAAAAAAAAAACTAATACAAGGTACAGAAACAGTCCCATGAATTTCTATATTTAGAAACTTAGTTAATTAAAATGGCATTTCAATATGGGGTAGGAATTAATGGGCCAATTGACTATCAATTTGGAAAAATAAAAGTATGTAATAACATCTAACATATACAAAACTAAATTCTAAGTAATATAAACAGCTAAACAAAAAAAAAATGTAAATCTTGGCATATGGACAGTCTTCCTAAGACAGATGCAAACTGTAAACAATAAATTCACTACATAAAAATATGAAATAGGACAAAAGACAAAATAAACCAAATTTTAAAGCAAGATGAGAGAAAAATATGTATACACACTTTGTGTTGTATATCAGACTGAGAGTTATTCCTCAGAATATACAAAGAATTCTTACCAACGTATGAGAAGAGAAAAAACTACCAAGTACAAAACTGTGCCAAGAATATGTAGAATTAAATATGTACATCTTCTACCCGGAATTTCTACTTTTAGGTATCTCCAGAAAATAAGTCCTTGGCATTTATACATAAGAAGGTGTACAAAACAGTATTCATTGTGGCACTGTTTGTTACTGCAGAACACTAGAAGAGAAGGAAGAGAATAATGACACACCAGATGGAAATGAGATGAAGCTCCTATCAACTTAAATAACTAGGAGAAAAAACATATTCATTAATAGAAGAAAAGTTAAGTAAACAACAGAGCACCAGTACTAGGGAATACTCTGTGGCAATTATACTCTGTACAGAAATGGGTCTATATGCATGCACTTACATGGCAATATTTCCAAGATGTGTTGGTGAAAAAACAGTCTGGAATAATAGTCTAATTAGCAAACAGTATAGGATTAGGAAAACTAGATCAAGAAGGCTTTTTGGTTTATCTGTATTACTTTAGTTTTCTACAACAACACTGTATGCATGTGTTCTCTGCTTATTAAAATAAATTTAAAGGTATGAAAAATATAAATGATTAATATGGACACTGTTGCTGAATTCTGTCTAAGTAAAGAGGACCCATGAAAGAAAATGTCTATTCTGAGGGCCGTCCTGCCTTCAAGATGGGAGGGTGGAAAGGAGAAGGGGGCATTGTCAAGAAACACTTTGAAGTAGTCACATTTGAGTGAAGTCTTGAATGATAAGAGTTTTTGAAAGACAAGGAGACATGACTGGTGCTGGTCTGTGGGGCAGGAGGTGGAGCTGGATCACTAGAGTACAGTGAAGGCCTTCCAGTTGAAGGAAGCAGCCTGGCATCTTAGAGGACCTATAAGCTATTCCACACGAGTCTGGGCCACAATCCTGTGAGAATGGGGTGCTATTGAAATATTTTAGGCAAGGAAGATAACTGCATGGTTTGTCAGGAGAAGGGGTGCTAGTAAGACCAGCGGCAGTGCAATATCCTGAGAGAGGTGACAAGAGATGCAACTAAGGCAGTATCAGGTAGGATGGAGAAGACAGGTTCTAGATAAGTTTCTGAATTAACTCTATAAAGTTGGTAACTGATTGCATACGGAAGTTAAGGAAGCTGGAAGGGCCCAGAATTACCCCAAGTTTAAAGTCTAGATGATGATTGATGATTTCACTCACTAAACAGGAATTGAGAGAAGGAACAGATTGGAGGAAATTAGAAATGTTGATTTCTGCTGTTGCTGTGCTTGTAGCCTTACACACCTGCTCTACTGTCACCAGTGGAAAAGATCTGAGTTACCCCCAAGTTACCAGTGGCCTATGTATAAGGGGCTGTAAAAACTTCAGTCCTTGCCTCCTCAGAAGAATGAATTTAACTGAGGGTCATAACACAGAAAAAGAGACCAAGGCAAGTTCCAGAGCAGGAGTGGAAGTTTACTTAAAAAGGTCTTAGAACAGGAGAAAAAGGAAGGTGCAAGCGGGCACATGAAGGTTAAAGAGAGAAGGTCAAGTGCCCCGTTTAATCCTGATCCTAGGACTTTTATAAGCTCAAGTCTTTCCCATGATTCTTCCCTTCTGCATGCGCAGAGCCCTCCTTACCCTTGGGAAGTGAGCACGTGCAGTGTGTTTAGGGAGGTAGACGCATGCCCATCTGAGGTTTTCTTCCTTTTTCAGGTGGAGTGAGCCCCTGGAAGATCATACTTTACTCATTTTTGTCTCAACACACAGGCCCAGGAAGTTCTCCCTGGAGCCTGCATTCAATCAACACTTTTAATGTTAACAGGCATGGACCATCAGGAGATTGTCTCTCCCCGGCTGCAGAATTATCATTTTTAGAGAGGCAGTGTGATAAATGTCACATCATCACCCGACATTTCTAGTGGGTGCGGGGAGAACCCTCTTCTGCCCCACTCACACCTCTACCTGTAACACTACTTCCCAGTTGCAAATGGCCAGCTTGAGCAAAGTATCATATCCTCTGGTACCTGACACGCAGCTATTAATCTGGCAAATGCACTTTTCCTGGATACCTGTTAGTAAAAACCACCCAAACCATTTGCTTTCAGCTAGCAAAACTAGCAATACACTTTCGCTCTCCTACTTCAGAGGTATGTATCAACTTTCCAGTCCTAGGTCATAATTTAGTCCTTAGGGACCTTGATCACTTTTCCCTTCAACCATCATGCCTGGTCCATTGCACTGATGTTACTTGGACCTCACAAGAAGTAGCAGCAATTACTCAAGACATACCGGTAAGGTATTTATTTGTATGTCAGAGGTTGGGAAATAATTCTGACAAAAATGAACGGGCTTTCAACCCCAGTGAAATTGTCAGTGGTATGGGCATGTTGAGATGTCCCCTCTGAGGTGAAGAATAAGCTGTGGCATCCGCCTTCCTACAACCAGAAAAGGCATGATGCATAGTGGCTTTAAATTTGAGGCAACATATTCTTCATTTGCTACTCCCGCTCATTTACCAAGGTTGTGGGTTAAATTATGTCCCCCTGCCAAAAAACATATGGTACCTATGAATGTAACATTACTTGTAAAT